CAACCTTTTTGCATGACTTCAAGGTATTGCAGGTTTAGTCTATTCTGTTAAAAATTACTATTTACCTGACAGAAATGTAAAAAAATACTCGTAACATGTTATATATTATTATCATGTTATGTATGATTATAATATTTTATGATATATATTCATACCACAGTAGAATATATTCGTATTATTTGTTTATTTCAATGATGTTTATGTACTTACTGTATTGAGCTTCATTTTAAATCCACCATTATTTTTATATATTATCGTCCACAGCTGGTGCATTCAACTTAACAGCTTAATATATGTAAAAATAATAAGTTTTCGTAATTAATTACTCATTACATCATAAATATTTTATATCAATTAATTTTGCGTCATCCTGGTTTGAATTTAAATGTCGTCATGCAAAAAACTTTTAAAAATAAATCATTCATTCTTTTGGTTCGATGTTGTTTCTTTGTAAATCAAGGGGGTGACGTCTGAGCTGAAACGAAGCGGGCACTATTTATGGTCGGTAGTAAACAAAAGCTGTTCCCACCAAAGAGAAGCGTCACATGCCCAACAACCTTTCATAAACATCAACCTTTTGTTGGTGTGCGAACTCCATAAAAGCACTACATAATCTTCGCTTTAACCGTTTTCAATTTCTTCCCTCATTCATAAAGACATTGTATTTGAAATGTAATTTGTATAAAAATATTATTACAAAGCTTATTTTAAAAATAAATATCGAACAACGAGTTAACAGATGTAATATTTTGTATTATAAATAAAGAATATGAGCATAGGTAAGTGGTGTAAGTTAAAAGGTAGGAATATTCCGGAAACATGTGACATAGAACTGGGCAACCTTCCTTGGCGGTAATAGCGGCTCCTCGTTACGTTAACGACATGTTCGAATCGAGAGAGGGATGAGGAATTGAATAAAATATCTCATTACGAGTTTTTCCCCCGTACATACTACAATAGAATTTTTCTCAGTATTCCAGAATTGTACCTTTTTTATTTACTGTACGTCAGATTTCGTAGAAGAGGGTTTCAAAGTGCTAATATAGCCAGAGTATTGTAAAGGTATTTTATTTTGATTTCCTATTTCAAGTATTCAACCTTCCAGCAAATTATGCTTCAGTTTCTTTATTTCAGCATCACGATCAAATTTTTTGTGGCCTCCCAGTCTCAATTTTATTTTAAAAAGGTAAATTATTTACACCAACTCACCGTAGTTGAATACATACTGGAAACCATGGGGTCATACATGGTCTTTGGAAGGTTAAGGTTTTGATCAACACAGTGTTTATTTTTCCTTTCTGGGAAAAGTAACACCTTTGGTCTGAGGACGGGTAGGCCGATGTTGGTTTTAAACGTACAGCAAACAAAGAGAACGTTGACTTGGTGTCGAGCCTGGAAAAACGGATTACCGGGCTCTACAGGTGTTCCGCGTTCATAAATTGGATTGGTTTTTACAGCTTGAACCGGACCCTAGAAGCACACCGCCCCTGCGGGTGGGAAATTACATTTTTCTACTTCCTATTTTTTTTTCAACTCACCCTCTATTATTACATTTGTGGCCATGTAAACATCGAGCTCCCCTTTGTTCGCCAGTAGCCGACATGACGACAGCTTCCCCACACCCTGCTTATATGATGAAACTTGGTTTTGTATGGAGAAAATATGTTTTGGCGGATTTTAGACTTTAATACTCTTGGATAAAACAAACTCCGAACGATAATTAATTTGCTTAAAAATTAGAAAACAAATTATATTAAATCTTTCTAGCTTTGTATGCAGAACTTTGCTGATTATGAATTATTAGCTATAAGAAATAATTGTGTAATTTCATCTCAAATCACAAGCATTTTGACTCTTATAAAGTAACTCTATTCAAAGAGGGTATGAAAAACGTTTTATATGTGGCAATAATAAAAACGGACATGGTTATTCCTTTAAACTTTATATAATAAATAACGGCATATTTTATCGTAGTACATCGAATGAGGAATTAGCATTAAATTGTATAACGTTATGTGAGGTAAAATACCTCATTCAATTTGGAGAAAATATATTCACATAAATAATCATTTGTTTGTCCCAATAAAATCATAGTTGCAAATGAATCAATTGACATGTAGGTGGAAAAAAACAACTTGTTTTTCTGCTGTCGAGATTTCCGCTGTACTTGACGTCTTCCTCAGGACTCTATTTAATTAAAGACTGATAAATATTCTAGTCAATAACGATAATCCTGTACCTTTAGTCAAAAAATTATGAAATGAAAGAAGTGTTTAACTATAAATGTACCTGATAGGAATAGTGACCAAACATCAAGTATACATAAAACAATTACCTATGTTAAGGAAATTTCAAATAAATTGTTAAATGTTGGTTAGGACTAGAACGTCTAATTTGAATTTTAAATTTGCATTCAAATACAAGAACTTTTTCAAAATTGAAGTTCCCAGTATCTACTGAACTATGTAGTAATGTTGTCTACAAATTGACTTGCCAGGACTGTGAACGGGTTTATTAAGGACAAGCCAAACAGTTACTCAAGGTAGGCAATATGAATATGATTGTAGGGACAAAGACAAACAGGGAACAGCTCTTTCCCAGCATTGTCACAAATTCAAACATAAATTTGATTTTGAGAAAGTGGAGATTGCTGATAAAGAGAGTAACCTAGGGAGGAGGTTAATTAAAGAAATGGTCTACATAAAAGCTGACAATAAAGCTTGTAATTTGAGTTGATATCTCTAACTTGAGTATTATTTATAGCTATGTTCTTAACTAAAATATTCATTGTTGGTTGTTTTGTTCTATTGTTTTCATTTATTCATTAGTTTATTAGAAATTTATGTATTGTTATTATTTATAAATGGCAATTGTTATATGTGAAATTGTTAGCGTGATAAATCTCTGTAACAAAAGAAAATTACTTTAGGACAATTTGTAAGCCATTGGTATCATTGTTGTGTGAGATTGATAACATGTTGTTATCTCTCCTGGTGGTCTGGGTTGAGCTATCCGGCCCCTTCTATTTATAAAGTTTTTTTAAAAAGTTTTTCAAGTAAGTTGTTGATTTATCATTATAATTTTATAGATGTAATCTGTAAGGTAATACTGATTGTAATTAAATAGAGTTCTGAGGAAGGCGTCAAATACAGCTCGACAGCAGAAAAACAAGTTGGTTTTTTTCACCTACACGGCTTCATCCCTGATCACTTTATTTCAATATTTATCATAAAGGCCGACAGTCAACGACAATGGACGATATGTATACAAAATACATGTTTTCTCTGTTTATAGTTTGAAATAATCTATTGACCAGTATACCTCAAGTATGTATATGCACAATTAGACCTAAACTAATGCAAAATACCACATTCGAATAATTTCTTTGTATCTTAAGTTCGGATGTCCACCTTGAAAGAACATTGAGCGGAATCCGGATTGGCTCCACACAAACAAGTGGTTAACCATTGTTGCTGTCCGATCGATTTAACCTCAATTCTGTTGCCGTCCCACAAGTAGAATCGGAACAGTAATAATTTAGCATTTAATCGTTCTTTTAATTGCGAATCGCGTAATCAGCTTGTATATACCGATAATTACATGTTAAATAAGAAAATATTGATAGAAAATGCTATATGAAATTATTTATTTCATTTAAAACCAAGAAAAAACCTTAAATTAATAGGAAATCCATAAATTATACATAACAAAAAAAATTTTAATTTTTATAGTTCATTAAAAACGCTAGTTTTACAATACTGATTCTGAGCCATTCAGTTTTTTCAAATCTCGAATACATTTATTTATACAGAAAGTACTAAAAATTCTATAATTGTAATAAAAATTGTATTTTATTCATTTAAAAAAATCAAAAGGACAAGAAAATCAAAACAGTACGTTCTATTTTTTTAGTGTTTGGTTTAATGTATTGAGTCATTGTAAGCATATTAATGTAATCTCATCGGAAAGCTTTAGGGCGTTAATTTGTCTCGTATTTTATTATTAAATACTTTTTTTAGATATTGGGTTTGAATTTTTGTTACTCGAATTAATTATGCGTTTATTAAATCCATTCCACTATGCATAATAGTTGTAAGTTAGTGACATGTATAATAGTTGTTTCCTAAGGAAAGGTAGAAAATAAGGACTTTTGCTGTATACTGTTCCATTTTCAAGATGGAGATAAACCAGTCACGTACAAAGAAAAATCTTCTCTCTTCTTCTTACAGTAAACGATGCAGAAGCTTGGCCCGGGGTGGTTCGCCGAGTTAAGACAACGATATTTGTCTTCAGAAGTAAAATAACTCGAAGAAAAGCCAACGACTTTTAATTAAAAATAATATCGTGTGGGAGCGTTGTGATGATTGTGTTTTTAAACACAACTTACTCGTATTATAATTGTTAATAAAAAGATTTCCAGTCACGTAACCATGCAACAACGTTTATGATTTGGGGAAAAAAAACAAATTAATCAAAAGAATCTGAAATTCAATTACACCCCTAGTGGTTTGTTTCAGACGATGAATCGCAAAATAAAACATTGCATATCAAACTTGTTTTTTTTCCTGTAATTGGCCTCTTCGATTGTTAGTCCGAAATCAAGAGAGTTTTCCTGGGAAAAATTAGCCTTTTGAAAAAAATTCGCCGGTAGGGTCGAATAATAGGGGACAAACTGGAAATCGTTCATCTGGCAGGGTCCAATTAAAACACTCTAGAGATTTAACAACGGTTTTCGAATTTTCCAGCAGACATAGAATGGCAAAAAACCGGAGGGATTCGTTTTGAGTACCAAATAATTTCCAAAGTAATTCGTCTCTAGAGTGAGTTTTGTTTGTTACGCTGAAATTATAGTATAATGCGATATCACATATTATTGAAAATAATTATCACAAATGTAATTACACTTTTATATTATCTGTAAAAAGACTGGAAAAACTAGTAGGTGAAAAATTTTCATTAACATTACGTTTGTGAGATTGTAAATCACTATATTGGCTTACCTTTCCTTGAGTAATTTGTAGTAGGTTTAGAATCTGAAAAATAAATGCATTGCATCAATTAGTATAATTCCTTCCTTAAACACAAAATCAAAAAAAAATTAAAAACGTTCTGTCTTCTATGTATAATGTTATACAATTGGTATCGTATATGTGTCAGTATAATGAGCGGTATTTCCTTTCTTACACGACCATTTTGTATTCAGAATGAAGTAAAACGAGAAGCGGTGAAGAGTCGCTTATCAGACAAGGAAATGAAGATGATAACCACAAACGTAACGGCCTTTTTGCACCCATACCTAAGCCAATTCAATGCGCCTTGATATCGCTTTTCTTACATGGTCTATATTCAGAAGAAACAATGACAATGCTCCTTAAGTTGACAAATTGGCTGGTTTCGAATGGTTTTTTTACTTAAAAACCCTACAATCCAACAAAATCAAAGCCATCTTTCAAAACTTTACTTTAGGCCCTGTTTGATGCATTTTACGATCACCTCTTTTGCACGACAAAAAATCAACATTAAAGATCAAATGTTTTATCTTAGATTAATTGATTGTTCCAAAATTATTAGAAAGAAGTATTAGAAACAAGAATTATTTTATTTTGAAAGCTCGTAAGGAAATAGTGTTCAATTATTGTAGAATATCTGAAGTTTTTTTTTTCTCGCTTCCAAAATAGCCAAAGTTTTCATGTGGAAGTTTCTCAGAATATTATTTCCAGAACTTCTTCATGAAACGTAAAAAATTATGTGCATTGATTTTAAATATTTTCGTGGATTTCCAGTTTGCCAACTGCAATGGAACAACATGAATACTACGTAGGTTCTCTATGCTTATATGAAACATCTAAGCTTTAATACAAATGTATCTAAAAATAACAATACTGAGAACTACATGATTTCAATCAATATTAAACAGAGACTAATAATTTATTATTATCAATAATTAATTAGTACAACAATTTTAACGATCAAACGATTATCGCCATTATGTACTGACGTTTAAAAATAAATCAATTTTATCCAGTTTGTAATTAAAATCATATATTTAGGAGAATAAAGAAGAAATTAATATACATTTGTAGAAGAATTTCCTTGGTGGTGGATTTTTTGGCCTATGCAAATTTCATTTAAAATCGTGGATAGAATTAACGTTTAAATAACTGTAAGAAATAATTGGCTTATTTGAGGAGAAGGAGGATGAGAAGGTAAAATTCTTTAAAATTTGTCGTCAATTTACTTTTCAACTCCAGTGTTAAGATAATAAAATAATAATAATCTGGAATAAGCGCAACGGATATGAACAAATAAAATTCGTTATTTGGAGATCGTGAGATGGGGTTTGGTGTGACGTAGGTTTTAGAAAAACATTTTCTTTATCGTGCCAACGTTTCAATCTTTATTGAGATCATCTTCAGAGCTCAAAGTGTTTGTTTTCTGCGTAGATGTATCATTTTTGTCTGTCGTGTTGAAAGTGCCAGTGAGATATGTTTTCCTAAAACCTACGTCACACCTGACCGAATCTCACGATCTCCAAATAATCATTGGCTAACGGTCACTAAACACCACATAAAATAAAAATTCAGTAGCCAATTATTAAGATTCTCAGAACATTTAAAGAAACAAATGCAATTATCTATTGAATAAACAGATTTTGTGTTTATAACACATTACGGGCATTGCTGGGCAGTAAAAAATGCTGATTAATATTGTAAGAATAGAAATGAGCTTTTTTCCAATTTGGGTTTATTGATTTATAAATATCACCTTTTTTTCATTGTAAATCTGGTACAGTTCAGGTCAGTTTATTTTATTCTTGTGTTTTCTCTCTGAATTTTTAATCTTGCATAAAATACACAGATAAGAAGATTCATTTGAAATTCTAACCACTTTTATAAGAGTTTTTCCCCTAACGCCCATTGAGTTCGTATTGTAGCTTCTTATGCATTTGTTTTGTCGTACTTTTAGTAATTTCAAAATTTAATTATTTCAAATCTTGAGGTCTTTGAGTATTAAAAGCATTCCTTAAGCGCAGAAATGCGTATAACATGGTTAATTATTTTTTCTCCAAAAGATCGGCTTAATTAGTTTTCTTTTTAGAAAGATTTTGTTTCCGTTGCTGGAACGAGACCAATTTTCCGGCAAATAGCTTCCGATTAGATTGTAATGTCTCGTTAAGTTAATTATGTGAAGGGAGAAAATTATCTACTAGAAATAACGTTATTTCGTTCGATCGAAAAATCCTTTTCAATTTACTCCGTGATTTATCTCCAGGGTGAAGAGCTTTATCTAATCTTCTTTAATTGTTTTTTCAAAAATTAAATTGGAAACTAATATTGGAAGAAATTTTACTCGATGGTTAAATTATTGTCTTGAAGAGACATGGTAATTGCCTTAGGAAAATTTGGTAAATTTCTGTTATTAATAGTTAGGAAAGACTTGCATATCCAATGGATGTAAATTAATGTACTAACCATACATCTTTATGCGGATAACAATTTAAATCAAATTATTACTTTGGTATAATGCTGATACCATAGAGCTTTTGTATTCTGTATTGAAAAAAATCTTAAAAATTTATGTAGAAAGTATTTAAGAAGGAAAAAATTCTACGTTATAAGGTACAGAAGAGAAATTTAAATTATTGAATTTAATTTAGGATATTGAAAAAATAATACAATCGATTTTGAAGAAAAGTAAAATTTATGTGTGGTGTTTAGTGACCGTTAGTTAATGATTATTGGGAGATCGTTAGATGCGATCTGGTATGACGTAAGTTTTGGAAAAACATTTTCTTTATCGAATAATCAGCAAAATTTATATTAACGGTATTTAATGCATGAAGTGCGTTAATTTTTAATTTTGTACCCCACTGATAAATTTGTTTCTAAAAACGAAATTTTGGAAGTACTTCATATATTTTGATTTGAAGTAGAAGTTATGAAGTCAAAAACAAATCCCATCGTGATTTTCTGGGAGACCTAGAGATAAAATGTACATGTACAACCCGATTTTTCAACAGGGCGAGCATTGTATAAAAGTTGAGTTTGGAAAATTGGTGGTAAGAACTTTTCATCGGTGCGTAGGAGGATTGTGATTGGAAGGGATATGTAGTTTGTGGCTCAAATGTAACAATCGACTCAGCTCAACTAAGTTTAATTCAGTTTGAGAGGGAGCTCCTGCCAAGATCGCTTGAATTTCAAATGAGCTTTGTCGGCCAAATCCAACAAAGCCTTTAGCACACAATAAAACTCTTCTTGTAAACGACGATTTTGGTTATCCTTTTTTAGCCGGAAATATATAGAGAAAACAACGCTTCTTTATTCTCACGATGATTTACGATAAGTAATTAAATTCAATATTTGAGTCCTTAAGAGTAACTTATATTGTTGTGAAATTGTAATAACGCTAAGTTTCCGTTTAAATTTCCGTCCGTCGGATCACCCTGAAAGTGAACACAGGTGTCGCCTTGAGAACACAGTACATTTGAAGCTGATGATGCGAAAGAACTACAATCTCATCAGATCTCCACTTTAAATATAATTATATAAATGTATTAATCTTTAAAATTGATTATTTGGCGGTTGAGAGATGCGGTCTAGTGTGACGTAGGTTTTAGAAAAACATTTCTTTATCGTGCCAACGTTTCGATCTTTATTGAGATCATCTTCAGGGCCTGGGATTTATAAACATTGTTTAAATTTTACAAATACATATAAAATGTGAAAAAATTAATCAATTTATACAATTTATTCAAAGTTTATACGGTACTTGAGTACAAATATTTTGATTGAATCTAAAAAAAATTTAGCATTGTATAAATTCTTTTTTTTAATCTAAAATCTTCTAGCAATGTATAACTTCATTCATTTTTTTACATCCTACATGTATTTGTAACATTTAAACTATATTTATAAATCCCAGGCCCTGAAGATGATCTCAATAAAGATCGAAACGTTGACACAATAAAAAAAATGTTTTTCTAAAACCTACGCCACAGCAGACCGCATTTCACGACCTCCACATAATCATCAAGTAACGGTCACTAAACACCAGACATTTTTAAATTGTATTTAGCCCGTTCACCCAAATTTACCCCGATATATATAGAGAAAACGACGCTTTTCCTTATTCTCACGATGATTTACGATAAGTAATTAAATTTGATATTTGAGTCTTTAAGAGTAACTTATATTGTTGTGAAATTATAATAACGCTAAGTTTCCGTTTAAATTTCCGTCCGTCGGATCACCCTGAAAGTTGAACACAGGTGTCATCTTGATTCGTCACGGTCACTAAACACAACACACTTTTAAATTGTATTTAGCCTGTTCAGCCAAATGGTCTGTTTTATACAATTGCTGTGGCTATATTGAATGAGAGATGTGTAAAGTCACTGAATTTCATTTTATATGTAAATGGAATAGCTAAATATTTTAATGTTGGAACACCAAATTCTTAGGAGCCGGATTTCATGAAAACTTGTACGAATTGTAAAATGTTAAATATAAAGTAAAATTTACCTTGAACTGTATAATATTAATTACAATTCATCATTTATTGTCCATAATGTGGAGATGATTCTTTATTTTATATTATTAATAAACACTTATAATTTTAACATCATCAATTAAAAAGATTGTAAGGGGAAAGAAGTCTTACTAGCAAATGAAACTTCAACTAAAATCAAAGATATAAGCGGACTTCAATTAAGTAAAGTTCTCTTTCAACCTAACTGATGCCTAAAGAAATTCCCTGACGGTGAGCCGAAAGTGCCGTGATTGAATTGTTTGAACAAGAATGTTTTGCACCCTTCAGGAACTTGTGCAATAACACCTTTGGAAAGGGGATGCTATCTGGCCTCCTTGTGGATACGGCCAATAATCCTAGGTGTTGTCGAGATCCCCCGACACCTGCTTCTAAACTTAGTGCAATAATTTCCGGATAAACACCTAATACGGATATGGAATCAACGCGATCATTATTTTCTAAAACCATAAGGAGTTTAAGTGTTGTTTTTTCAAACATAATTGAT